ATGCATCGACGAAGTTTACCCAAGTAACTATTAAGCATAATACAAAAAATAACTTGAAACACGCAGCTGACTTTGTCGCACCCGTTCGCTGAATATTAATAGACGAACATTAAGAATTCCAGCCATCAAGCGCCGAAGCCCGAAGAGTCCTTTGGTTCGTTTATGGGACTGTCAATAACGGTTGCGCCGCAGGACGGTAATTTATTAAACGCACGGTGGATTACTATGAGTCGGCGGATGCTAACATCATGTACGTGAATGCCAGACCGGTCCATTTTTTTTATTCGCGTCTCACGCGCATAATCAATATTCAATTCCAATTCATTTACGTCGACGCATACAAAATAAGACTTTGTATCTGCATCTGAAAGTATAAAATCGGTAATGGTTATCAGCAGCGAGCAAAACATGAAGTATAAATTGTAAAATTGTAAAATTAAAATGGAACAACGCTAGTTTTAATTTGCGAATCACTAAACCGCCTTCTCCTTGGTTAACAGACAACGGAAAAACGAGGTCTAAATATAAAATTTACAAAACTGAGTTGTCAGGAGGCTCGGTCTAGTAGCCTTTCAAACGTTAAGAATGCCAGGGTATTTAACGACTAGTTTTATAATAACATCCCTCATTATTAATGAACTACTATCGCAAAAGTTTTTAATCAGATAAATTTACATTTTCCACTGTGGATCATAACCTAGTTGAAAAAATAATATATCAATTTAGGACGAATGCAGTCATGGGCTCGAAAGGAGGATGTAATGTATCTAATTCCTCAACTCTTACCTCCTATCTATATTATCATTAAGTGTTTATTAACTAGGTCTGCTAACTGCTAACATCATTAATGTCCCTAAGACCACTCAGCCTCATAATCTCACTCACTATATCGAAATTACTTGAAAAAATTGTCTAATAGCTAGTAGTTAGTTACGTTACGTTAGCACACGCTATAAGGAACTGCTTGCTCTTCCCAAGCATAATTCGGCCCAATTTAAACGCTGCTTTAGCTATAACGTCATCAAACCTTACAATAAACTCCCTCTCCAATTTAGATCGCTAACATCGTTAGTTACTTTTCAACGAGAACTTAGGCACATATTTAGAATTTTTCTTTGTATATCCGTTGCAAAAGCTTTGTGTTACATTATATTTCTACATTGTATATAAGGTTTTCCATTCGTTGTAATATGTGTATCAAATCTGGGGCTAGTTAGTCGCTTTAAGGGGTTGCGTAATATAATCGATTTTGGATAATTTATTACATTCTGTAACGTGTGTCAACGAATAAAGACTTATTATTATTATAACTAAGTTAACTTTAATTATTATATTTTTTAAATGGCATCACATTTTTGGATTTTACGATTAACATAAGTGTGAGTGTTTCAACAAAATTTTAGAAAACTGAGCATTAAGGTGTCTTAAATAATTTGATTTTTGAGTCTAATTTTAATTTCTCAAATACAGCGAAATTTACAATAGATTGAATTGAAGAAATTTTAAAAAGCTTTACATCTTATACAGAGTGATGACTAATTTAAACGGAATACCATATTTTTTAACTTACCATGGAATGTACTTGTCAATTAGCTGTCGAAGCTGTAACTATAGAATTTATTGTGGTGTGTTCTAAATAAAAGTTTTATTATTCGTTGTTGGCTATGGGGTTTGGAAATATCCAATAATTTATTTAGGCTGTTTTATTATTTTATTATTTACTATTTGTTGTATTGTGGATTGTGCGGATGTTGTTTGGTCCAAATGGAGATTTACCTAAAATATGAGCGTAATTTTCATCCGAGCTTTATCACTGGAGAATGCCATTGGTTATAATCAAAGGTTAAGTCTAAGGAAAGTGGAAGTGTTAGTTATACAAAGGAATACAAGAAAATGTGTCGCTGATGAAGAAAATATTTTTACCGCAAACCCAAATATTAGACAAACAAATATTTCAAAAAAATTTTAAAGTGATTTTTAAGTAAACGTTAAGAAGACATGTAATAATACATAATACATGTAATAATACATTTAAGTACCTAACGTTTAGGTTATAACATTGGAGGAGAATTAAAAGGTTTTATATTATTATATTATATTATTAAATTACTAATTTTAGTTTAACCACTTTAATGAAGAGTTAGAAGATATTTTTTGTATTTTATTTTGAAATTATGTAGTGACATATCAAGAAACTGGTTTCGAATTTAGATGAAATACTTTACGGCAATGTATGAAAATGACCGCATGAGGCATTGTAAGTTTGGGATTACTTCTAATATTAATATTGTGGACAGGGTTACGAAAAAACTAGTGAATTAAGGTTATTTATTACTTTAAACAAAAATGTCGATAATAATAATAGGTAATTAAAAGGCAATTCAATAGGTAGAACTCACTCTTTGAAAAGTTAACAAACATTGTGTTTTTATGTATTTGAAATTAGATTAAACTTTCACAGAATTCAAATTATTTGAAAAACTTCAGGCCGAAGAATCCATATAAAATAATACACAGGAGATTCCATTAAAAAAATGCAATATTAATGCTTTTAATACTTGTGCAAATTTCAGTCACTCTGTATCGATTCCGGTTGCCCAGTTTATGATGGTGACAAAATAATGACAATTACAACTTCGAATTAACATGCCTAAACATTTTCAAATAGTATTTTTGAAAATAACAGCTAATCTGGCCTGTGCTCAAAACTGATTTTCTATGAAATTTTAAGTGAGATAAATATAAATATCATAACTATTTTGGGTTTTTAGGTACAGGGTAATTTTGAAAATTTTGCTTTTTAGACACATAGCTTTAGTGGTAGGTGATTATGCGTAAAAATATAGAAACGGTAAAAGATAGTGTGGATAAGTATTTTTTACGTAGGATCAAGCGCATAAGTCGACTTTCTGCAGTACCACACACACTGTGATATATAAGTTAAATTTGCGTTTATGGTAAAGGAACACCCTATACACATTTTAATCATTTTATTCAAAAATAGATAACACATAAGAGCTAATTCAAATACAATCTTACAAATACTTCTACAAATCTTTAATTTTATTTTTGTTTATGAGCAGGAAATCAAAAATCGGTTTTTTTATACCTGTCAAAAAAAAAGAGTGCGTGAGGAATATTGAATAGATAATACAGGCTTTTTATATAGAATTCCTTTTAATTTGTATGCTTTGAGTTAACATGAGCAAGAGGAGGGAAAATGAAAATAATAATTACGCAAACTAAAGTATATTAGTTAAATGGACACTTTTTTCAATACGTATTCATAAAAAATAAAATAAAATAAAAAAATATGCTTTATGTTTGAAACACATATTCTTTGAAAGCTCATAAGAAACAAAAGTTAACTGTGTATATCAAAACTTGCAAATTTCAATAGAAAACTGACTACGCCACTGGATCCTACGTAAGAAAATTCAATTTTGCCATTGGTTTCGCTTACCTTGTAACGCTATATTTTTCAAAATATTTTAAAATTAAATTAATATAAAAAAACTCCAAAATATTATGCTCTTAGGACTTATAATGCACTCCCCGATATTATCAAACATATACGAATTATCAAAGAAACTTTTAAAAAATCAAAAGAATAAATAATTTTCTTGATAACATAGAAGAATATCTTAATAAAGAATAATAGCATTCTAAGGATTTATATTATTTTTTATTGTTTTTTTTGTCTTGAAGTAAATTTTGTACTTATACATTATGCTTTATACAAATGTCATTTAATGTGCCTCTTGACAATGTTAATATCCTGTGTGTAGGATTATATGACAATAAAGAATTTCTATTCTGTTCTATTAATTATTAGCCATTGCGGCTGTATATCATGTTTGAAAATGCCTAATTTTTAATTTTGCAGAAGAATGCTAAGTGTTATACCAGTTGCACTAAGGTCACCATGAAATAGCTACCTAAAAGTTATTCCACTTTTACTAATTGATCTAACAATGCAAAATCTCCACGTCAATTAATAAACTCCTAGGTAAACCCTAACCTAACATTATTATGATTCCTCTAGTCTTGGATTTTTGATAACGAAAAATCATATCTTAGAATAAACAACTGAAAATACAAAAACTGACATTCACTGCTCTGACTTTGAGAAGATTGCTTCAAGATCATATCTAAATGACCGTATCATCATGTTTCAAAACAAAATCCAATGTTTGTGCACAACAAAGTCACAGATTGACCAACCCGGCAATAAAATGAATTCTTAGCAACAATGGGTATTAGGCAAGGCCACCGCAAGGGTGCTATTGGCTTTATCGCCCCACAACAATCCAATCCGCTATAAAAGGGACAAAGAAAACGGGTGCCACTGTAAGGCAGCAGGTAGCAAACTCAAGGCTGCAAATTCTGAACGAAAATTATATATATAGATATAGAAGTCTTAAAATTCAAACAATTACTGGGGACCTTTAAAACAGCCAAATTTGAAATTACTTATAAACTTGCGTCTTTCTTCGATCCATTTTCGCAAACGAAGAGGAAGATATTGGAAATTATGATTAGATTTCGGAAAAAACACTTGTTCGGAGAGTTTTAAGAAATTACCCGTTTAAGAGCCAATTTTAATTGGTGACCCAAAATTTTGGAAAATAATGCGAACTAAAGCACAAAACTTTTAATTTCCTACATTCTGTGTAGGTTCAAAACAATTATACGAGGGAACACGAAATAATTGACACAACAAAAATCGGTCCTTTAGTGGGACGTTAGGAGAAGATTGCACTTTTGCGTATGAAAACTAGGGCTGATGCCCACGCTGAGCCTTATCGAAGTGAAAAACAATAAGTTTTAAACTTTATGTTCGAGCAAACACATATTTTATGTGTCATTCATTCCAAGCCAACACAATTGTAAACTACCCAGCTCTCCTAGCGGTATTAACATTTACATAATATACAGGGTGACTGAGAAAACCGCCACAGACCATTGATTTCAGCGAAGAGCGCTCTATAGAAACTTACCAATCTTTTAGGCAGCAGTGTCCAAAATTTATTTCAAAACAAACCGTACATCACCCCAGTGTTTAAAGTGCAAAACGAAGTCACTGTTCATAAGCACTCAATCACTTTTTTCGCGTAATATCCATTTTAACGGCAAACGAATGAACTAAAATAGACGCCCGATAGTGCGAGACGCGCGACAGTGTAAATTCGGTTGACAAGGAGAAGTACAGGTAGTACCGACCAATACGGGTACGAATGCACTTGCCAGGTCTAACACTGAACCAGAACTGAGGAGTGGAGAGGAACCTTGTGGTTCGCCTGCCGCGCCACGGCCTACTATCTGGCTTTGGGTTTATAGTCCGGAATTAAAGTACTTTTGTCGATTGTTTTATGAAGTATTATAAAAATAAGCTGAGCGCCGTAAATTTTATAGAAATACATAAATAGGATGTATTTTGTGATTTGATTTATCGGATTGGATTGTAGTAAACATATGTACAGTATATGCATTAGTGCATAAGATGGATATCAATGGAAATAGCAGCAAGAGCTGATAGATTCAAGTTTTTAAATGTTGAAGGATGTAGTGACATTTTAGAAATAAATTTTCATTATTTGAAGTGTGACATTCCAGGATGACTTAAAATTATAAACTAAAAAATAACATCGAAATGATAAGGAAAACGTTAAAGTTAAAACCCAACAGTTTTCTTGAGACTATATTAGTACTTTGATTACCAAGGCATTAAACATCCGAATTCTTTTCATAAGAAAAATTTATTGTATTTATAACTTAATTCCCTCACATGAGTTTTAAAAAATTGTTAAATAGTGAGGCTCATTTCCGTATTGCTTGATTTCTGCAATGTTTCACCGTCATATTTTTGACCAATTAATACACGTCTAACATTTTTACAATGGAAAAACCTTGTTGTTACTATTTACAAATCTTCTGGATTGTTGCTGCGTCAGTTGTTTATAAAGCAAATTTGCTGACGTTTCGCCAATCATATTGTTGGCTTCTTCAGAGCTTAAGTTAACAACTGACGCCGGAAAAATCCAGAATCCTGTGAAAGTTTCTTTGAAAAATGAACGTTTTTGCATAATAATGTTAAAATATCGGTTGTTTCCGAATGCAAAAACTTGTATAGAAACAAACTTATTCCTAACAGTCCCTGTTTGGATTTGATCACTAAAGCCAAACTACAAAAAGTGCAAAACTCATGTATTCGTTTCATATTTAATCTAAAACTCAAAGATCATGTTAGTGAAGAGCTGAAAAAATTAGGCTGGCTTAAAATCGCCACACAACTTCACCTAGCCTCCTTTTTACATAAGATGCTCAAAACCCGGGGTACTGTTCATAATGATTGTACACGTTTTAACAATTTTCACGACATACCAAAAATGGAAAATGGTATGTCTCAGAATTTTCTTATGGATCTGCCAAGTTGCTAAAGCGATACCTTGAGATAAGCCAACTCGCAAACGCATGTAGAGCATCTTTTAAACAAAATTTTAACAAGAAACTGTTAATAAAAATTATATTCAAAGTTATCTTTTGATCTTTTAATCTATTCTTATTCTTAATATTAGCTCATTTACTTATTTATTAATTATGTTTTTTTGTAAAATTTGAGAGTCAAAATAAGATAGTTTCAGGTGCACGTTCCAAGGTATATCCCCAAAAAATATTAAATTTGTGGTTTTCTCCGCAATTAAAAAGTCTTAAAAAGAAATATTCTTTGTGGCAACAGTATTAAGTTCTGGTGCTCCCCTACTCTAACCTACCCTAACCCGAAAAATTTTTGGTAGAAAAAAAATTCGGATTCTATACCGGATACAATCATGTTTCCAAATAAGCTCATATTGCGAACAGTTTTGATGAGGCGAAGCTTATGCCAACCCTAATTCTGAACTGAGTTTTGTGACATCGGACCAGGACCATCTTAATATCTTTGCATTGAGTACAAGTTCATTCTGCCTTATTTATTATGTCGCTAGTAGTCTCGAGACAAATACTCAAGGACTTTTCAAAATCTTTCGATAGGCTTGACCACAACATTCTATTGCGGAATGCAGTCTTATCTTTTAAACAGACCCCAGTATTATTCTTGGTCCCTTGCTGTTTGTTATTTTTATTAACGATGTTCGAGACACACTTGACCTGCGCTACCTCATGTACCATCGCATGTCCGGCTGATTGTATTATCTCACAGAACAAACTCAAGAAATAGTGTGAATCTAATATCCTTCCTCTAAGCATACATCCTCTTCGATTATTTAATTGATAGCATTGTCTTGAGTAGGACAGATTCCGTTAGATCTGGGAGTTGTGTTTGATTTAAAATCTAAGTCTAATGTCTATCGGCAGCTAGATTTTTTAATTTGTAATATTCACGCTTATGCCTTTGTCAAGTCTAAATTGGAATGTGAGTCTCTTATTTGGCAACCTAGCTACAATCAACACGCCGAAAGTTTAGAGAAAATAAAGAGAAAGTTTTAAAAATTCTTAATTTTGAGGACGAGGACGACATTCTTCTCAATACTCTCTTCTTTCTTAGTTTTAAGTTTGGCAAATCGTAGAAAAATGCAGTAGTTAATATTTTTTCAAAACTTGTTGAACGCTACGTATACCCTATAAATTGTCGAAAGCTCGTCTTATCGTGAGGTTCCTGAAATCTCCAGGATTGCATTTTTTGTGCTCTAATTGTAACAGACTGAACATTTTTTACTGCAGTTACAAGGAAAACTAAATGTGCTTCTGATGTTTACCTCTAATATACCTGTAATGTATTATTAGTATTTTTTTTCTACTCCCGTCTGTAAAATACCTAATTACACACCGAACGAGGGTGCGGGAAGCATCACTTTACCATGACAGTTTCCTTTCCCACGGATCCGAGTCACTTCGGACATTTTCGGGATTTTACCGCACGGGTTTGGGAGCAATCGGATGTTTTCGGAGATTTTACCGCACGGTTTGCATTTTGACGTTTGTCAATTCGGACGGTCATGTCAATTAATGTATTCATGTTGTTTTGCAAAAATGTACCCAAAAACTAATATAAAGAAAAATTTTATACAATATATCAGACAAGTTAAATACTATTTACTATAAGCTACAATTAAAATCTAGTGGACTATTCGGTAAGTACAGTGACATTTATAATTTGTTTCCCACAGAAATTTTACATACCGTTCGCATGAACTTTAGTGTTTTTTACAGTTTTTATATTAATATCTTGCCAAGACCAATTGTAACATTTTCAAATATCCATGTCTTTCAAATATCCATCTTAAAAATTTAATCCTCTTAAATGCTCTATCCTTGGAAGATTTTTCTTCCAATTACAGTCTTTTTCTTTAAATAAACTACTTAATGATCAATTATAAAAGTTAAATAAACACCATAACCTTTTAATAGTATATTACGCAACAAATGCGGTAAACAGCATTTGACTCACAAGTTTATTTGACATGAGCGGAGCAAGTGTTTAAAAAACGAGTGACTTAAAAAGTTTACCGAACGTGTTACATACTATACTTTTTCTACGACCGTTGATTTTGGGTACATTTTCGCAAAACAACACGAATACATTCACTGACATGACCTTCAGAATTGACAATGGTCAAAATTCAAAGCGTAGGAAATATCTCCGAAAACATCCGATTGCTCCCAAACCTGTACGGTAAAATCCCGGAAATGTTCGAAGTGGCTCGGATCCGTGGGAAACGAAACTGACGTGGTAAAGTGACGCTTCCCGCACGCTGGATGGGTGTGTAATTAGGTATTTTACAGACGGGAGTAGAGAAAATTGTTTATTCTGTGGTTTATATCACATATTCAATAATACATTCTCTCTCTGTCTAATGTACACAGTTAAAAAGAGACAACAATAGCAGAACCGTTCGGAACGATAAAACGATAGGTTTAATGGCCACTAGTAAATATTTTGTTTGAATGGTACGAAATTTAGTAACCCGATAATCTGTTGTTATTTTTAATTTGTAATTTTTTTCGTGACGGTCGTAGAAGAAGTATAGTATGCAACACGTTTGGTAAATTCAAATGCCGTTTACTTCACTTGTTGGATAATATACTACTGTTTTCTTGGTAAGTATTTCCTCGTCGGCAGGTGACTTCCGCTCTTTCATATATTTTTCTTCTCTTTCTTCTTAACACTTCTAGTATCTTCCTAATCTCCCAATTTCTTATTCCTGTGTATCTCCTGTTTGTATTTCGTAATAATAAATAATAAATTAGTATTATTATTTTTCAACCAATCTCGCCAGTGTCTTAGGCGCAATCCTATACTTGCTATACTACAATAATAGCACAGCCATAATCATTATAAAGATAAAGGACTAAATTTTTGCAATCATCAAAGACCACTACAAAACACAACAGTTTTAGACATTTTTCAAAGTCCATGCGCCACGGACATCAGACATCAGAAATAGTAATAATAATAGCATAGTCAAAAAGCATTAAATAAGTAGAGATACTTAAACAGTAAATAAACAAGTAAAAAGGTGGCGAACTATTAGCACATGAATGTTTGTTTGTGATTTCAAAACAAAATACGTAACACAAACTAACGAGTTGTAGTAACAGAATCTTTGAAGTCTACTTGATGGATATTAAATCTCTGCTGCTGAATAACCCTGTTATATTTTTCTATATTCGTTTTAGGATCTACAATTTTGAATCAGTTCAGATAACACCACTGTAATTTTCGTTGCTAAGTAAAAAAAAGCCCCTTCGATTTGTAGTCTTTTCGCACCTTGTTACTCGCAATTTTTGACTTTTGGCGTGTCGAATAATCATAATCGAATAGAGGTTCCGGCAAAAATAATTGCTTAACTTCTCAGTTCTTTGCCATTCGATAGAGTTTGGCTAAAACATTTGACTAGCTGTTTCGTCAACTATTTTAAATAAACAGCTTAAAAATAATTAGGATTTTAGGATTAAGAGCTTTTAAATGAAATCGTAATTTTTATGCAAATAAAAAATAAACCACTATTATTATTAAGTGACAAAAAAAAATGAAAATATTGCCTATGCTCAATATGCTAAAGGACTTAAGGTTCAGTCGAAACAATTTTCGAACAGACAATATACTTGCAAATGGAGTTGATCGAGATTCAAGAAAACTCACTCCTAAAATCCAAATTTGAAGACGTGGAGTTGTGCGATTTCTACAAAATATACCTCGCAGAAGACCATTTTCCTCAGCTTAGAAAATTCTCAAGAAGATTGGTTCTT